GAGAGAGAGAGAGAGAGAGGCGCACATTGCACAGCGTTATGCCTATAATTTAAAAGTGGAATAAAAAAGACAATGGGGCGGCGTCCAACGGTGACACTTTGATCTCCTAGTTCCGCAATGAGGTGAGAGTGCCCTACGCATGGTCTTTAGGCCAAGGCGTCAAACAATGCATTTTTGTGTGGGCATGGCAGTTAAGCACAAATGGGTTCTTGCAGATTAATAGGTTTAAATTGCGCTTCTTTTATATCCTCCCTGTTACTTGCCAGCACTTCAAAAAGGGCGGTCTCAATACAAATTTAGCCTACTTGGACTTAACATTAAATATGCTCATTGTTTTTGTTTTTTTTTGCTTAGGAGCCAAGCATGTTCTTTCATTCAGGTTTAATAGATCATCTATTTCAGTTTTTTGGGTCTAGGTTATAGGCCCAATAATATAGCCTAGTTCCCAAATTAACACACCTTTTGGCAACTTCGAAACGGAACTGTTCCCAAACTCCCGGACTTCGAATGAAGCCAAAGTTTGTTCTTTCAGTTTTTCGAGTAGCCTCAGTCAATGCGCATAACTTCAGTTAGTGCGCAGTTTCAGACAATGTGATTGTGAACCTGCAGCAAAGCTTGGAGCTGACAGTAGAGTCAGTGGACCGCGGATATTGCACAGCCGACACCTGACGTACGTTATTCCTTGTGTCGTATCAGTTAGTCAGTCGAGTTCGCAACACAGCACTTTTATAGCTGGTAGATTAATCAAGGCGGCGCTGACCTCTCAGAGAAGAATTACAAAAGATGTATCAATTGTTGCTTGCCATGTCATTCTGTTCTTAATACATGTAAGCCTACTATATGTACTTCTTGTACAAAACCGAGGTAGATGGTGTTATCCGTTGAAACATCTTGTACGGTATTTGTCCCCGCTCCCTCCCCTAGCCTTGAGGCATTTGAAATTTGGGACCCCCCCCCTCCCCTAAAGTTAACACATTCTTCAATTACTCCTGCGGGTGTCGGATGTCTTGGGTGTCTTTGAAGACGAGGCGAAAAGTTGGGAAACGCGGATCTCAATTAGGTGCTCTTTGTTTATCCGGATCTTTCGTTGAGGAATCTATAGGAGAACTGTATATGTGACCTTTCAGAGTGCATACCAAAACAGTCTTTGCTAAGTAATGACCTTCAACGTTATCCTTTCTCGTCTTTTTTAGCGACTAGCGTGTGAGGTCATGCGGTACGGGACTCAGAGATGGCAAAATCCTTATTTTACGAGCCACATGGTACTTATTCCAGAATACAGACGCCGTGCAGTACCGTCCAACTTCAGTGGGCCAACCAATGAGCGAAGGGTGGATGGGTCAGATTTTAAGGGATCGATAATAGTATATTTTAAAATTGACTCAAAATTGAACATTAAAATTACAGTTTAAAAATTGGATATTTAGGTAAAGCAGACTTGACTTGACTTTGACCTTTGCCCGAGACGGCATAATGTTCTCATAAGTTTACCCGTAGCCTAATATGTACTCTATTGTGTAGAATCAATCTCTAAAGCTTTTCTATTGCTGAGTCGGCTAGGCTACTGCATCATCTAGCAGCTACTACTGATAATGATTAGTTTTGTTCAATCTAGTTAGAATGTATTGTGCCCCCCCCCCCTCCCCACCCCTGACTCCCACACCAGAACCCCGAGGTCTTCCTCAAGCTCAATGCGGAATCCAAAACAGAAAAAGAAAACTCAGCATTTCTATCCTTCACACAAGAGCAGAATAGTCTTCAGCCACAACGATTATGTCGACCATTTATTTTCGACTGTCCATTTCAGACTCACATATTGTATAAAAAGCCCTGTTAAATCACATACGTCGTACGTATACGATCAGCCACCCCCCCCCCCCTAAAAAAAGAAGAAAAAAAACACCCTAAACAAAACCTCCTTTCCCACACACACCTACTTTTCTAATCGTTCATGTTTATCAGTATCAGGTGTTTTCGCTTTATCACTTATGTCAACTCCTGTCGACAAATATGTTTTGTATGTCCTTGTGATATGTTTGCGTTTCTCCAATACGTATACATTGACCACGAAGAAAGTAGAGACTGACCCAAGCTCTCAACATATTAAGCTCTCTATTGATGTGTAAAACTTCAATTTTATTTCTTTATACAGAAAGCCCGTGTGGTACAGGTAACTGTGGAGACGCCCCCGCAGTCCCGCAGATGTGCAACCGAAGCACACCGGCCGGTTGTACGTGTGTCGTTAGCGTGTTGCTCAGCGGCGACACAGTTTACAAATAATGATGTAATTTAGGTCAGATGCTAATTTTAGCGTCATCATCCGGGTCTGTTGACTGCGCATGCTCAAACACCACATCCGCCATCTTATGTTTGTTGTTAATCGCATGTCACAGGTTGAAAATTCAACTTGCAGATCTGAGCCTCATGTTTAACCTTTTGAAAATATCTTTGTTTGGAACAGTTTGAAGGACATTTTCCACCCAGTAACAGCCAACAAGTAAGCCACGAGGGGGAATAAAGGTCTCCCTGGTAACAAGACATCTTTTGTTGATCGTTGAGTCACCGACGCTGTCTCAACTCGCTTCACTTCGGCTCGCAAACACGCCTTCCGAATAGGGCACGTTATCACGAAATGCATAATTAAAAGAATACACTGCTGTTGAGCCATTTGTCGTCAAGTGTATAACTTTTCTTAATTTTTAGTATCTTTTTTTTTTTCGCAGTTTAGAAAGCGTATCGTTATACTTAGTGAGAGTTTTATCCGTTTGAGTGTCCTAGTCAGTGTTGCCTATTTGGCAATCTGGGAGACGGCAGATGGCCCTGGCCTGCTCAGATTGAGTACGGGAAAATTGTAATGTTTCATTACTTTCATACAGTATACACATGATTATGTTCTAATTTCAGTGTTCAGATGTGTTGAAGTTAACTTGTCAAAGTTGTTAATGCAAATTCAGTAGCAGGGCTAATTACAGGTTGAGTGTGGAAGAGAATGAAAGTCAGCTTGCCTGGCTGTGGTGTCCATCTTGTGTTGAAGAGTCAGCTCATTTTTGTGTAAAACTTGAGTTTGAGCACTTGGTGGATTTTATTTTCTGAAATTCTTCTTGAAGCTTAGATTACCAACTAAAAGCACCATCATTCTTATGTGCCACTGGTTATCTCATAATAAACGTTCCTACAGCAGAATTGGTAAACAGTTTTGTGCACTGCAGGTTCTATATTTGATACACAAGTATTCCTTGCGCCATTTTTTAGTTTTTAGTTTACTTTCAGTCAAAGTCAAAGTTCTTGAAAATAGGATCTGCATCATTTGATCAAGTTGTGTAATGAACGTGCTGATCAATCAAATCAATGCACAATGTGTCATACTATGAATAGGCTAGTGTTTTCTTCCTTAGATTTGAGTCTGAAGTCCAATATATGAATTGTCACATTCTGCATGCAAACCAAAGACAAGGTCCTGAATTGTCATGTGACTGGCTGGTGGCCAGTTTCATGAAGTACAGATCTAGATCTAGATCTAGATCTAGATCTAGATCTAGATCTACCTGATTATGATAAAATATAGCCTAATTTTGATTCTGAAAAATTTGATCAAGTTGTACTAAAATGGTCTGATACTTCTCCATGTTCCATGAAAGAAAATCTGGCGTACTCAATATTGTATCAAAACCGTATTAGTATTAGTATTGAATAGATCTAGACTAGACAGACTTTATTACTTTAATTTTACGAAGTGACTATTTCTCCGAACATTTGGGATAATAAACTGGAACTCTATTTCTCCGAACAGTTTCCGTTCCCGATATTTTTCAATGGTTATTTGCGAGATTTAGGCGATATTCATTCTACCAGTCTGCGAGGACTGGGAAGAAGCATTTTTTGCATCGAATTCAATTTCTAGAGCTAGAGATTTTTAAATGTCTGAATATTCAGATACTTCAGTTGTGGTTAGGGCAACGTTCCCGGACTGTACTTCATTTGAAAATACCTTCAAAAGGTACTGCAAGAAAACAAGATTGATTGACCTTGGCAGTAACTTATTTTGCATTTAGTCACCCAGCAAAAACTAAATTCCTTCATGTTAAACAAAAATCCCTCCAGGCCCCCACACCCCGTTCACACCTTACACAGACACACACACACACATACGGGCCACTCCATTCGCAATTATTATCAGCAAATCTTCAGAACGGGAGCCGTTCAGAGAAATAGAATTCAAGTTTATTCTCCCGAACGTTCGGAGAAATAGAGCCGGCCTTCATTTTATAGAAACTAGAAACTTTGTCCAGTGTCCCCAGTGACTAACTGCGTGCATCGTATAGATAGGGTTTCCAGTTTTGTGTGGGAGAGGAGCTGAGAATGAGTTTCATTGTTATTTATGCATGTAATTTTCAGTTACAGATTAGTTCACTTTACTTGAAAGTTTAACTACCCTGTTTTTCGCTGAAAAGAATGCTTCGGGGTGTTTTTGTCAATTGAAGTAAATCGTCAAATACTGCATGCTTTCTCTGTTTTCAATCTCCACACATTTTTTCAGTGGGTGGTTGGCGGGTGCTCTGGTGTAGTTTGCTTCTTCTTTCCTATCAAACATCTGTCTTCCTTATCTCCCCTTCTTTTTTATGTTTGTTACCTCTTGTAAAACCTCTAATCTTCTGGTGCTCATATGACCTTATGCTGTTGCGAGCGCCGTAAAACCTCTACTAAAACTAAAAAATATTTTTTCATACCATTATTTTTCCCCTGATTTTTCTCTGTCCTTCACTTCATGCTCATGCTGATGTTACTTTGTTCCGAGATGGGATTGTCAGGTTTCCAAACGGCAAAAGTCTCAGGTCTCCATGTTTGAAGGATCCTCAGAACTCTGGTGGAAATTTTTGTTCCTATAGTTTACTTTATTATTTCCTGAGTCTTTATTTTGAATGCTGATTCCTCGTGTACGAAATCGTAACCCTAATGGCTAATGGCCCTAACTGTATCTTTTTCTCTTTATGAGACGTGCCTCGTAGCCATTTTTAATTTTTCATTTTGTAGCCCAGGATTCAGTACTTACTGTAAGTCAGGGCAAGGTTTTCTTTTTGTGCCACACAATAAGATCATTTTGGTGGGTTTGAAATTTGTTGCTTTTTATGGAAGGAAAACAGGACTTCACACAGGATTTAAAAAAAAAAGTAACTGAACTGAATATTAGTTTTAGTAGAGGTTTTTATGGTGCTCGCAACTGCAAAAGGTCATATTATGAGCGCCAAAACTGAACTGAATGGATAAGGCTTCACTCTACCTAAAATTATAATGGAAGATATTTTTTAAAAAGCTTGTTAATGGGAATAGGGAGCTGGACAGAATAGTTATCATCTAATATAATTCTGGTGGCCTGATCTTTGCATGACTTTTGAAGACACACCGAGCTCTGTTGACCCTAAAGAATGAAACAGCATTCAATATTCATAAAAGGGTATGATGGAGCTGGTTTTCATGACTTTCAGCTTAAGAATTTATAATATTCAAGTATCGTTTGATCCCAATGTACCATAAATTCTCCAGTATTTAGTCATTGCTTTCCACTTCCACTTGTAAAGAATGTGACTGTGGGTGGTTGGTGGGTGCTCTGGTGTGGTTTGCTGAACTTCTTTCCTATCAAACATCTATCGTCTTTATCTACCCTCCTTTTTTTTTTGTTACTTGTAACACCTCTATTCTTCGGCGCTTATATGACCATATTATGTTGCAAGTGCCGTAAAACACTTACTAAAACTTTAAAAAAAAGAATGTGTGTCCACTGCTCATCAAATGCTACACAATAAAAGCAAACGGGAATTTAAAAAAAAAATTTGGTTTGGGAAAGGGTTTTTTTTTGGTGGCTTTGAGTGGTTAGTAAGCTCGGGTTCACTATAATATCAAGCTTAGATCTATGTCCATGACTCAGTATTTAAGTGGGTTGCCTACTGTGCATCCTATTTGGGGGGGGTGTACGTGTTTTGTCCATGTAGTTTTTCCGCTAACGTTTTATTTTCACAATTTGAGTCACCCAATGGCGTGTAGGCCTACTTTTATTAGGGTTGGTAAGCAGTCATACCCCTATTAACCCTGGAAGCGTGCAGGCCCTATATAAAGGACGTGAGCCGGGCTACTCGGGAAGCGCACAGGCCCTATGTGTAGGGCTGACCTACTTCGACCGGGAAACGCGCAGGTCCTATATATATAAAGGGCATAGTTATAGACGCTGACCTGTTTCAATGGAAATTTTCAGTATTCCTTATATGGAAAATGACGCAGTAGATTACTGGTCAAAGCTATTATAAATAGTGACTAATGACTTTGCAAGTTATCTTGACCTCGTAGAGCGTCTCTTGGCCAAGGTATCGGTCGATGAAGTGACGCGGTCCAGCTGAGCGACTTCACGCTACTATGTGTTATCACCTGTTCCCCTGTGCCAATGTACCAGTTGTTGAATTCATCGAGTTTTGCGCTTTGTATTTATTTGATCGCTTATCATTTTTGAATGGCTCATTCTATCAGTTTTAAGAAAAGATATGGTTGATGCCTTTTATCATCTGTTGAGCCGTAAATGGTCTTTTTTCAGTAGTAGGTATACATCTTGGGTATCTCAGGTGATATCCACCCGCCAAACCCCCATTTTTACAACTGATCGGCCGCGGCGGCGGGGCATTTTTGGCGGGTTACTTTCAGTAAAGCACTGAGCGCTTCTAGGGTTATCATTTCACGACCGACTTAAATTCACAGACCTTTTGTGCACTCGCGAGCGTCAGAAATCCTCTACTAAAACAAAGAACAGATTTCTTTAAGAATCGTGAAAATGTAAGTTTAGCAGAGCACAGAAAATAAGCTATGAAAAAAATGTAGTCACTAGGGTGTGTCTTTGAACTACACATGATAATGCTGGTTCGAAAATAGGTCGCTGCATATTGGCAATGAGCATAATAACGTATCGATCTTCTATGTTTGTAATACTGTGCATTATTTACTCACGATGCATTTACTCTAGGGGGTCACTAAAGTGTGAAATTTCAGTCCCATCTCATGCTTAACTACTAGACATCCATTTTCTACTATATTGATATGCTGAACACGAATATTGACCTCTTTTCCGTCGCAAATTAACTCACTCTCTGCCAGCGCCGTAGCTCAGACCAAGCCGCTGCCTGCCAGCTTTTTTGTACCTTTTTCAAAATCCAGTTACTGTGTACCTATTTATGTAGTTTATGAAAATTTGCCAGTTCCAGTAGATGCTGAGCTTAATTGTGTAATTTCTGTGCTTTGGACAGGTTTTACGGCGCTCGCAACTGCATAAGGTCATATGAGCGCCAGAAGATTAGAGGTGTTACAAGAGAATAACAAACATAAAAAAGAAGGAGGGGAGATAAGGACGATAGATGTTTGATAGGAAAGAAGGAGCAAACCACACCAGAGCACCCGCCAACCACCCACACTTCCTCACTTTGGACCAATTGGGGGGGTTGTTTTAACCCATATTTTGATATTTTGCAGTTAGGTTTAAAATTTTCGTGAAAATAATTTATTTGAGACAGTTTTAGTTGCTGTATGTGACATCTGTAGCAAAAATACCACAGTTTGACCGTAACTTAATGCAGTGCATCAGTGTGCAGGAGTGAAAGCAAACATTTGTTTAGCAGAGATATATTTTGTAAACAGTAGCTCTGACAGCAAGACTGTAGTGGTATGGGATGTCATCTTACTGAAGGCACACGGGCAGCTTATTTAAAAATGAAAGAGGAGAGAAAAAGCATTGCGATGAGAATTTTTTAGTTTATTAGCTGCTTTAGTTAAAATATGATTTTTGCACTTTTGGGTTCCGCGAAAAGTTTTTGGCTGAGAAATTCCACATAATTTTTTTTTCAAGATCCTGTTATGTCCATAACTTGTGAGACATTAACACAATGGCATCAATGGTCTCCTCTTGAGAACATGCCATGAAATCCGACCCACCTTATGGGCCCGTTTTTTCTAGTGATAGAATATGTTTAGTTTAACCTGAACGTTGAAGAACCATTTTCAGAAATCTTAATACACATTAAAACTTGGTTTTGTAAAACTGAAGTCCAGTTGTTTTCAAAGGTGTTTAAGTGTGTGTTATTTATGATACAAGGGGAAGGGGAATGTTGGTTTTTCTAACATCAGATGACTGTTCATGAGAAAGTGGATAGGTTTTGACCTTGGTATAAATATTGTTAGAATAATATGGGTAAATGTGCAGCATTCACTTTTTAGCAAATGCTTTGTTCTTGTAGTCGAGGCTAGCTTTGGTGAGGGCAAAAACCAATCAGAAATTGTAAATTAGCCTGATAATTCAGGACAGTAATAAGCTTAAAGAGTACTTATCGTTTGCTTACCCAGCAGTTTTTCAGCTTCATCAGGCAGTTTGGAATACCTAGTGCCTTTGATACTGGTCAATTAAGATTTAGTGAAGTTGTGTGTCCCATTGATAAATTGTATGAGGTCTTGTAAAATGTCAAGTATTGGCAGTTGATTTTTCTGTCCATAACTTGTTTACTCGAATTGAATATGGGTTATACAGTATCTTGCATTTTGAACTTCTCTTTTTGTTGTCTGGCACAAATTCTTTATTATAGGTCTCTTGCATTGTTAATTCAGCGATGCTTTTTTTTTGGGGGGGGGGGGTTACTTTTTTCGCAAAAAGTTATTATTCCAGGCTTTTTTTTTCTGTTTAACCCCTGTACCAGTTGTGTCTGTTAACTGTCTTTCTGTTTGCAAATACAGCTTCATAAATTTTCAGGTGTTTTTCTTTTACAAAGTCCCAATGACCAATGGCATCCCTGCTCTTTGTCCCAAAAACTTTTCTTTTGTTTCTCTTCTCCTCCTGGATGCAATCTTTTGCTTTCTTTAGATAGATTAAGATGTATATGCTCATTTACTGCTGTTCGGCACCAAATTGCAAGCTGTGCAAAATATTTCAATGACCATTCCTTTCTTTTTCTAAAAGGAGAGAGTTTTTAATTTTCTTTGAATCCTATTCTGTGGTACTTTCACTTTTCAATATCTGTTACACTAACACCACGGTAGAAAAGAATTGTTTCTTGACATATGAAGCTACAATTTATTCATACCTTTGTTTTTCTGTTATTCATAAAGATGTAAAATTCTTTTTCTTTTTTTTTCCCCCCAGAAAGGATCATGGGGGCGTTTTTAGACAAGCCAAAGACAGAGAAGCACAACGAGGGAGGAGTGGGCAATCGCCTCCGCTATGGCTTGTGCAGCATGCAGGGCTGGCGGGTGGAAATGGAAGACGCCCACACAGCAGTCGTCAGCATCCCTCACAACCACCTGAAAGACTGGTCTTTCTTCGCCGTGTTTGATGGGCACGCGGGGGCGAGAGTGTCGGCCGTGTGCGCGGAAGAACTCTTAGAACACATCACTCAGAATGAAGACTTTCGCGGCAAGCCGGACATGACAGACGGCACGGAGGTTCAGCCTTCCATCGAAGACGTGCGAGGGGGGATCAAAACGGGCTTCCTTAGTTTGGACGAAAAAATGCGCTCCATGCCGGAGGTGATGAGCGGGGAGGACAAAAGTGGCTCTACGGCAGTGTGCAGCATCGTGTCCCCCAAACATATCTTCTTTGCCAACTGCGGAGACTCGCGTGCGGTGCTGTGCCGTAACGGCAAGTGTGCATTTGCAACGACTGACCATAAACCTGTTAACCCCATTGAGAAAGAGCGCATCCAAAAGGCCGGGGGTAGTGTTATGATTCAGAGGGTGAACGGCTCCCTGGCTGTGTCACGGGCGCTGGGAGATTTCGAGTACAAGAACGTGGAGGGTATGGGGCCTTGTGAACAACTAGTGTCTCCGGAACCCGAGATTTTTGTTGAGGAGCGAAACCCCGATGATCAGTTCATGGTCCTTGCCTGCGATGGTATCTGGGATGTGATGACCAATGATGAACTTTGCGCATTCATTGAACATAGAATGAAAATTTCTGGAAGTCTAGAAGATGTTTGTAATCAAGTAGTAGATACTTGTCTAATCAAGGTAAGTCGGCTATGTATGTTTTAAATGTTGGAATCTTTCCAATAGTACTCTAGACGGTAACCTAATGTTTGTTACAGTACGCCATAAACTTTTTTGGTTTCTGATCGTGTTGAGAAGCACAGCGTTGTTTTGGCTTCATCTGCTTGCCTGTTTGTCCTCTCTCTTCATATTGTGCCGACAAATATCTCTCTCTCTCTCCCCCCTCCATGTCTCTCTCTCTCCCTCTCAAAAAAAAACAAAAAAACAAACTTTTTCATACACATGCATGCATGCATACATTCACTCATAAACATGCAGATATGCCCCAACTGGATTTTTGTATCCACAGTTGTTTTTTTTTGTAAGTAAACAATCTTCTTATTTTCAAAAAATTTCTCTCCCTCCCTCTCAAACGCACTACACATTCACACACTCACCTTGACATTTCCCATATTTATGTGTACATTTGAGAAAATGTTCGTAATTTGTGTCCATCAACATTTATTGAAGCCAGATTTTGAGTTTTTTGCCTTTGTGTCTTTCCCGTAACTCAAGAATGTTTGTGTGTTGTTCTAATGAATGCTACAGTCTTGAGCACACAGTTTTGAAAAAAGTTTTACTCATGGGGAATGTTTCTAGGCCAGCTAGATTTGTCATAATGAGCACGACTGTTTCTTGAATCTCCTATTCCTATCTAATAATTGGAGGAAACAAATTTCTTTGAAGACGGAAAAAAGTAAGGCACATTTTCACAAGTTTTTGGGCTTGGTGATTAATTTAAAGAAATGAAACTGTTCCATAAAAGGTTCTGTTTGATTGCCAGCCTGTTGCTCCTTTTTTAATAAGGTTGATGTTGATATCAGGGAATCTGTAAAAAGAATTGCTTGTCTTTCATTTTTGTCCTATCGTGGCCTCCGAACTGTTTTTTCTAAAGGGTGCATAAAGTAAAGAGGCACTTTGGACTGTTTTCAGAACTATTTTGTCCAAAGTGGATTTAAGTAAAAAAGGCACTTGGGACAAAATAGTTGTGAGGCGAAGATACATATTAATAGAGTTCTTTCTTTTTAAAATCTATTTGACATTTGATATCAGTTTGCTTCTACTTCATTCCTATAAAAAAACATCTATCGTCTTTATCTCCCCTCCTCCTTTTTTTGTGTTTTGTTACTCTCTGGTAACACCTCTAATCTTTAGCACTTATATCACCTTATTGTGTTGCCAGTGCTGTAAAACTTTTACTAAAACTATTGTTCTTTCTTTTAAAAATGTGATTTGACAGTTCATCATTTCTTTCAATATGTCGGCTTTTCTCCCCTCCCAGGGCAGCAGAGACAATATGAGTATTGTGTTAATAGCTTTTGAGGGAGCCCCGACCGTGGTGGAGGAGTCGGTGCGGAAGGACAGGGAGCTCGATGACAGAATTGAGGCAAAAGTGAAAGGTAGGGGCGGTGGGGGGGCTACTCTGTGGGCACAGTGTGTGAACCTTGTGCAATGGTGCTTTTTATCTCCCCTCGCCTTCTTTTTCCGCGCCCCCCCTTTTCTGTTTCCGTGCTTACACATACCCTTAATGTATTGTTTAGAGAGGAGGTTAAAAACAGATGGAATTGGTATAATGTACAAATAGTTGATAATGATGAATGTCTCTATATAATTTTGGGAGTGGGATTCAAGTTCTAAGGCCAAAGTGTGGTCAGTGTTGAAGTATTCTCGTATCAGGTGTTAACTGATGTGCACAGTCAGTCTTATGTTCCTAGAAGTCCTATTGCCCATAAAGTCCTGATTCCCATGCACTGTGTATATATATATATATATTAGAAAGTATGATCATTTAGTATGTATTATATTAGTCCATTTCAAGTGTCGCCTTTCACTGGTTTTTATTTTGCACTTATGATATCTACAGTAGCCTATGTACATGCTCCTGTGTATGCCATCTGTAGTACAAGCGGGCCTGGTTTTGCATGTGTCAGAAAATCGTATTCAGATTCTTTTTGTTAAAGAAATGTTCTTCTATATTCTGTGGAGGAGAATGAAGGGGAGCTTCTTGCATCACGCTTTTACTTTGAATAATAATGAACATCACAAAGTGGAGAGGTCAGATTTAGAAAAATAGTAATCATATTTTTTTCGTTAGGTCTCTCAATACAATAACAATGCATTGATGCACTACTACTGTGACAGTGATGTGAACATGTTTTTTTTAACTCATTACTCTTTCAGAAATTCTTGAAAAGGAGCCACAAGAAAATCATGACTTTGGTTTTGTTTTGCAATCTGTAGCAGAAGAATTACATGATCAGTTCCCCCCGGGAGGGGGCTTTCACAGCAAGTAAGGAACAGTTTCTTTCCTGTTTGATTAGTGTCGTGTGCACAGCTGTTGCAGAGTAAGGGAACACTTCCAGTTATTCCTATACAAACCCCTTTTATTACCAGTCCCAAGAATGGTGAATGTGAAGATCAAGGGTATTACCTTGTACTGGAAATGTGTGTGTAGAAAAGGTATGTTTTGTCCCATCAGGTGTATCGACAAGAATGGTTTGGGAAACTTTATGGATATCATTCAGTTAGTACAGCATAGCCTGAAAAGTGAAAGTTGGATGTTGTGGTCATGCCGGCACAAAGAGATTGATAGAAAGAGTAGACTTCAGGGGCATCTTTATAATTTTCGTTGCGAAGAATCGGTTTCTTTATAATGTTGGAAGAGGGTTGTTTATTGTTTTCCTACCTTCCAATCAAGGGCTTTCAGCTTTCTGGCTCTCGCACTCTGTGCTAGCTTCACATTTGTAAACTTTCAAGTATAGCCGTCTATGCATAAAGTCTGCTGTGACTGAATGGGTCTTGGTGTCTTAGTCTAGGAAGCTGTCCAGTATGATCACATTTGCTGCAGGTTATGCAGGCAAATTTTCAATAGTGTCTTTACACTGAATTAAGGTTAGAGTTGTTCTATTGGCAAACGTTTTGTGTTTTTTTTTCTTAATTTTTCCCCCCCCTCTTTAAGCAAATGAAGACTGAAAGCCTAAGTTGTCCCAAACTCACTATAGATGATGAAGAACTTAGGGTTTGTGAGAGGAGAAATGTTGTTTCCTTTATTTTAATAGTCCTTAGTGGGCACTGCTTCACTTTTTGTTCTGCTCCCTGTTAAGACTACGGGCAAATTTTTTTTCTTGTTCAGCCGCCCCCCCCCCTTTTCTTTTCTCTTACGTCCACGCTGTTATGAAACACCACTGTCTTTGATTTGTTTTAATTTTTAGACTTCGTTTTTTGTTTATTTGTCTTCGGTTGTTTGGGATTTTTTTTTTTTTTTTCACTTATCAGATATCTGTTGGTTTTAGCAATCTTTTCCCGGGGTAGAATTGCATAGCTTTGCTTTCTCTTTGTTTTTTGGCTCTTCAGTTCTTTGCTAGAAAATTTCTGGTTGGTGCATCATGCCCGTCATTTGAGTTGTTCAATTGTAATGATTTTATAGAGCCAGTCCAAAGTCCCACTGCTGTTGTACTGAAAAGTTCGCCTAGGTACCTATTGTCAATGTTACATGTTCATGTCTCATTTTAGTTACAGACTAGTCATGGGTTTGGTTTTGGGTATGTTTTGGGTTGTTTTTTTTTCCTTTTTTACCCCTTATGCTGTAGGTTATAATACTTATTTACTTATGATGATGGTTAAAAAAAAAACAACAACCCCCAACCAATGTGCTGAGCGGTACTGAGTTTGTCCTGGCGTTGTAGCTGTTGCTCTGCTGTAGAAGTTGGTGGCTGGGCATGGACTAGCGGGCCAGGAGTAACTGTTGTTGTTCTCTTCCTCTTGGAACAGCTGTGTGTCCTCTACTTGTATCATATTGCTTGTATTATGCATAGACCGCTCTCCCGGGTGTCTTGACACACTCGATACTCATTATGGCCAAGCTGTGCTGAATATGTTTACTACCACCCATCACAATATAGTTTTATTCTCGTCTACCTTTCCTTCCATAGGCTTAGTGAAAAAAAGAAAGAAAGCGAAAAAGAACAAAAATACACGACTTAAGTTGTAGTGCAGTAATGTAATTTGCTGCTGTGGCGAAACTTTTTTTTGTACTGCAGCCACCCCCCACCCCCAGTGTATAAAAATGCTACCACCCCTGCGCCGTGACTTGTGAGTATGAAATGAGAGGTAGTTGCCGTCAGTGAGTCAGGGCATGCAGTCAGAGGAGAGTGGGAGAGTCTCTTCTTTTTTTCTTTTTTTTGGGGGGGGGGGGGGGGGGAGTGTTTAAAGGCGCTCACAACTGCATAAGGTCATATATGAGCGTGCAGGACACATTAAACATTTTCAGTTGGTAGGAAATTTTTATTTTGTGCGGGTGGCGGCCGAAGCCTACTCTATATATATATTGATTTTAGATGGTAGTGTCAGCGGTTTTATTATGAAACGTGAGGTTGTGCTTCAGGAACAAGCTTTTCCCCACAAGTGCAGCTCCACAAAAGGGGGCTTTAGTGATAAGGATGTGTGGTCACTTTCATGATAGTGACTAACTATAAAAAAACCCAGTTTGGTCAAAGAGTTTAAACAAAGCTTCAAACCAGTTTGTTTTCTTCCAAAGCCTTTGGGTTATGTAGCGTCGGTGGCCTAGTGGTTAGGCTCTCAGACTCGCAACAGTAAGGTAGTGGGTTCGAATCCCGTCAGGGGCCCGACGTTGTGTCCTTGGGAGAGGCACTTTGCACAAATATTCCTCACTTCACCCAGGTGGAAATGGGTACCTGGCTATATATACATTGAACGATCTTGTCAGTTTGATAGTGTTTGAGCGCGTGAAATCCACAGCTTGCACTGTATGCTTCCGCGGAAGCCGAGAATGTTTCTGAGTGTTCTCAGAGGGTCTGCTGTGGTAATAATAGTTGTAAAGCGCATAGAGCATGCTCTTAAGCATGGATATGCGCTATATAAATGCAATTATTATTATTATGATTGTCGGTGACTTTCCACGAGTTGTAGACCTACAATGTTCAAGGAAGAATCTTTCCCCCGTGGTATCTGGTTGGTCCCCTGCTGGGGCAGCTCCTGTTATGTGAGGCTGGGACAGCCTGGCTTGACACAGCTGTCATACAATACTTTACTTTGTGTGTGGTTAGCAGTAGGAGGAAATGGTTGGGGGGGGGGGGGGGTGATTTATAGCATTTAGTTATGTATTTTAAAAGTTTTACATCAGATATCTGCAAAAGGCAAGCCTACTTTGATGTTTCTTCTTATAGACTGAAATTTAGCATCTAATGTCGTTAAATAAAATTAATGTTTCTAGGAAGAAGTGCTATTTTTAAGCAGTAAGGCCACAGGTGATCATTTTTTTCCCAAGTAAAGTGAGAAGCAACACAGTAAAACAATTCAAAATTGTGTTTTGGGCTACATGGGTTGTAACCTGTCATGATTTTGTGAGTAGTGGACCCGAGGTCGTAGACAAAAACCCATTTGAACAATTTATAGCCTGAGGTCCTTATGCAGTCCACAGAGAGATATTTTTTGTCGTTATTTCTTCAGCGTTTGTTGAAAATAAAGTAATTAGAAGTCATTAACTCTGTATTTCCCTCTTAGTGTTGGAAAAGGTACCTTTTTCAAATAGTTTTGATAAGATTTATGTCTTTGCAGCCCTGGCTTTAATGGTTGTTCCAGTGTTTGTCCTCATTGACTAAGATTACCATGGTCACTTTAATTTCTGCATGATTCCTGTTCTATTTCATGTGGGGGCCTGGGGCTGCTTGACGTTACGGGCTCGATGTGTCTGCATTACGTTTTTGTTCTTGCATTTCAGAAAAACAGTGATTGAAGGTGTATACCACAGACTCAGGCCAAATGAAGAGCAAGATGTGAGTTTAAAGAGACAGAAGATACAGTAGAATACTTGTCGTTTATTTATTTGTACTTGTTTCTGTCTAATTTGTGAACGTCCCAAAACTCTAGCAGTGGCCAGAGACAGACTGTAGAGCGCGTAGTTAACAGCCGTAAACATCCAAGTTAGGGTGTGAGCAGACAACGAGATGAAAAGGAATAATGGAGAAGGAAAAAAATGAAGAGAAATTTTGCTTTATATTTCCTTTTATTTTATTAATTCATTTGTCATCTGTTTGTGCTATCATGATTTAAAGTCACTGACAGGAGTGAGTTTTACTGCCAAGGTTCAGAATGCAACCACATTTTAGATATCTCATCAAGATTATTCTCAGCACGAGGGTGGTTGGTTGGTGTTCTGGTGTGGTTTGCTCCTTCTTTCCTGTCTTAATCTAGCGTCCATCATCCTCATCTCTTCTTCCGCTTTGTGTTTGTGCAGTACGTCTAATCTTCGGCATTTATACCACCATATTTTGTTGCAAGTACTCTAAAATGTTTACTAAAACAATCTCTCAGCGTTATGCAGTAAATAAGATGATGTATTTATATACCTTCCATCCTGTTAGTCAAAGACTTTAATAAAACAAGTGTGGGTGGTTGGCGGGTGCTTTGGTGTGGTTTGCTCCTTCTTTCCTATCAAACATCTATCGTCCTTATCTCCCCTCCTTCTTTTTTGTGTTTGTTACTCTCTTGTAACACATCTATTCTTCGGCACTTATATGACCTTATTGTGTTGCTAGTGCCGTAAAACTCTTACTAAAACTAAAAAACTAATAGGACAAGGGCTCTGTTTGTCCATGCTGTTGTACTGTGGATTATTCTGGAAATGTATGTGCCGACCCAGGGGTCAACAACTGGTAGCACTTCTGAATGTGGGTGGGTTTTTGGTGGGCCTGTGCATGCTTATTTTGTGGTTGGTCATCCACTCAACACCCCCCCATATCTCTTGTTTGGTGGAATTCAGAAACTGACTTACATTTTCATACAGTGATGGAAATACTCTATAAGCATATGTGCTTACTGGGCCCATCAAAGATGTCCTAGTAGTTGGTTGGCAGGTGGTCTGGAGTGGTTTGCTCCTTCTTTCCTACCAAACATCTATCATCCTTATCTCCCCTCTTTCTGTTTTGTGTTTGTCACTCTTTTGTAACACCTCTAATCTTCGGGGGCACTTGTATGACCTTATTGTGTTGCAAGTGCCGCAAAACTCTTACAGTCTTAACAGTTCAGCCAAATGTTTTATTTGTCTGTGACGAAAACCAGGACATTTTTTTTTTGGTGGTCAATGTAGATGTTTAGGCATTCTGTTCTGGTGGTTAAGTAAACATATGCCATATTCCTGACATTCCCTTATACTGTGGGAAGTGGGTGTTGTGTATTCTACTTGCCAACAGTTCAAGAACACCAACAACATTAAACATTTATAAATGAAACAACTTCTCGGGTTGTGTTCCAGAGTTTAATATAAGACTTAAACTTTACATGACTGTGGCTTGTGCTGCCGTAGGCTAGACATCTTTGTTGTTCTTTTCTGTGTATGAGTGTGTTGCTCTTTTCTTGCTCTCAACGATACCGATGTACTGACCATTACAGTACTCGTTATGGAATACTGAAAGTGGGTACTTGTAATGTTACATTATGATTACTCTACTTCACAATAGTGGGAAGGGGAAACGAGCTTACTACCTCGTACCCCTGAGCCTCAACTGTCTTCTTTTGGGGGTGGGGGTTGCGTTAGATGTTTGTTTTTTTGGTTGTTTTTTTTTTTGTTTGGGGGGGGGGGGGGGGGGTTGTCCCGTCTTTTCTAGACTTAGTTTGGTCATAGCATGTCCATGTTCTTCTCTCCAGTCGAAAAATCAAACCAATCCTGTATCCAACAATTCCACCTTTTCTTTCATGTTCCTGTCCTGGTTTGCTCATCACTAACAGCGTGGCTGCTCAGTTTTGAGTTAGAATTTTGATTTTGGAAGAATTTTGTGCACATGTTTATGGCACTTATCTCAAAGTACTTTTGCTTGCTGACTTCCAGTGCCTTCTGATCTGTCCTGATCATCTTTTCTTTTGCCTCGAACAGAGAGATGTTTGCGAAAAAAAATAACACTTTTCCATTTGGCAAGCGATTACGCAACCCAAATTTAGAAAAGTTAAAAAAAATATAAATTGGGAAAATTCTCATCTTTTTTTCTTTTGTACTTATTGAAAAAACTCGCTGTAATGCTGCTAGGGTCTGGTTCAGGTATACTCTCACTATATTTGGTCAGTAAATAAGAAAGCCATAGGGATTTGAAATTCATTGTTTATTTTCAAGATGGCAGCCGTTTCCATAGCAACCGCTGTAGCTATGCCAAAATAAAATTGCATATCAAGATATTTTCCTATGCCTAACTTATATGTGTACTTAGATTTGATTGCAGGCAACAAAAATAGAAAATGGTCCTCAAGAGTCCCTCCTCGCGTTAAAACATTTGACGTCACTTTGTCCAGTATGGTCTTTCACTCATTCTTTCACCTTCCTCCTTTTTTTTTCTCTAGCTTATTTATATTATGTGCACATGGGCATGGTGTTCGATGAGTTAAACCAGCCCTCTGGTGACTCTAGAACAGAATAGACATTGAATGTGTTTATGGATGTGTGTGTGTGTGCGTGCATACTTGTAGTGTGATTCTGAAGTAAAATTTGTTTTGTTTTTTCGTGTGAATTTTTCAGGATGATATGCCATGATTGATAGCTTCTAGGCGGATAACAACGATGTACGGGCAGCCGGGAATTGTTGAGGATAAACTTGTACACTGACAGCCTGAGATGTGTCCCCATCTTTTTCTCATCTTCATTAGCCACGGAAAGGATTGGAGAATTGTATTCTTTATCCAGAGCTTTCTACCCATACTTTTATTTATGGAACAAAGCAGGTCTCCAGAAATGATCTCGCATTCTCTGTTGCCCAAGTAGTAGTATTACATATTTCACTATCATAATCTCTGTTGTTGGATCTTGTCTTTGTTGAAATCTTTTTTGGGCCCTGACTTAAATGGATTTTTGATGAAGATGATAGATCATAGGAAAGTAGATTTCTATATTAAATGCTCTAAGGTATTCGATTATATTTCCATCTCCCCCACCACCACCACCATTTTCCTCAGTTTTGTTACTGTGAGTAAGAATAAATTATTGAAAAGTTATATGCTGTTAAACATCCACTATTGATTATATTTGTTTTGTTGTTCAGTTGTTTTTCAGGGGTTTTATTTTGGGTTTTAAAAATTTTTTAAATATTTTTTTTTTTTTACTTTCCAAGTCTGTTTTTACTTGTTCTATTCATATGAGCATCTATCTTAACATTTATCTTTTTCTTTTTGCACTATTTTCCATTTCATGTTTGAGTAACTTCATTCAAAGGTAATTCATTATCAAGTAAACAGTTTTGAATTGTAATATTGCTGCGTAGCTATGTCTTATTTTATTCATCCCCTTGTTCTGTCATGAGCTCTTGAGTTGTCCTTGCCTCCATCTTGTACACACATCTTTCTCTCTCTCTCTTTTTCTCTTTTTTTCTCTTTCTCTCGCTCTCTCTCTCAATCTTTTATGATTGTTAACAAAACAGCTCTGTGCGTTCTTTACTTGCTTCCTTTCCGCATGATTTCATTTAGTGTCCATTTTGTTTTTGACAAACTAGTGCTCTTGACCGAAGTCTTGCTCTACTGGTTCATGTTTTGTGCAAGTTTGTTGTTTTTTTCTTTTGAATTGTGTGGTCCCAAATTTGTTTCCTCTTTTTTTTTTCATTTGCTATTTTGTTGTTAAAAATTTGTGAGTTTATTCCTTTGGTCTTTGTTTGGTTGAAGATGAATAATTTATTGATAGTCATTAAATTATCTTCATTCCATATTCATACTGCTAGAACTTAATTATTTTTTGGCTATTTCTGTATGAGCAATATTTGGATTATTTTTGGTTTATTATAAATAGATATATATATATGGATAATTGAAACCCCCCCCCCCCCCCCTTTAAGTCCTCATGGGATGAGCCAAGTGAAGTAGCATTATCCACCTCGGGGGAGACGTTGCCCTCCTCACCTCTTCCCCCTCACCTCATGTTGTCCTGACTCACCCACCCACCCCACTACCTTCATTTAGTATCATTTTTTGGATTGATTTGAGAGTGGTCTGGCCGGTTGGTTGGTTTGTCTCCCCCACGGGCCCACGGGGAAGAGACAGCTCTGCTCGCTCAGCTCCACAATCTGCTGAAGCTGGACATAGCAGACTGACCGTTCACGCCACAAACGCTATATTATTAATTAAAGTCAAATGAAAAAAAGTGTTTTTTTTGGTATTAATTTTCCCCGAATGTTTCCCGGCAACTTTCACACTTGGAAGTTGGTGTTCCACTTCTCTCTACCTTACACGAACCCGTGGGACAATTTAGAATTGTTCCATAAGTCAATATAATGTTTGATGTAGCGGCAGTGTGATTGACTGTGGTTTGGGGAGTTCTTACTTGACAGCTGCCACCCATTATACTTTGCTGAATCTACCTCGTAGACAAACTGCTCTGTTTGCCGTGGGCTCCCTCCTACTACTGTCCGAGAAGTGGCGGCCGTGGAAATGGGTTGTCAAGCTCTCCCCCCCCCCGATGTCTGTGTTAAATCAGCCAGCGATTGTAGATAACGGAAACCTATTTTCAAATAATTTTTGGAGTACATGAGTTTTTTAAAAGTTTTTAAGCGAGGAGAAGGGGAGCTGTCCCATTTATATCGTATATTATATTACACAAATTATGTTGGCCTTTGACCTGATCAAGTACATTCATAGGGCAATAACTTGAAACTTAAGCTTGATGAGATATTGATTGCTTTTCCTACCTACAGTCTTCACAAAGGGAAGACATTGATTGTCTGGCCCCGTGTGTCGGGCCGTCTCCTGTGTCATGAGACCGTTGACGACTACTGCTGCTGTGAACTTTTCTCTTCACCAGTCTGTCGTAGAGTACGTACGTGCATATGTACGTGCATGCAGCGCTCTGATGCTTGACTGCATCCCCGCCACCCCACCCCCACCCCCTGCCCAGTCTTCAGGGTGCCACCATTTCTGGAAGAATTTGATTTTCAAAAATGTTTTGTTTTCCCATAAATATGCTAGTTGGTACCCTGCATCAGTCACAGGTGTCTTTCTGATGCTGGCAAATGAAGTTCTGCTTGATCCAGCTGGCACCGCTGTAATTTTGTGATTTGCTATCTTTGATGGGCCGGGTCCTGTGGTTGACAGTTCCTGTGTCAGGTTACAGCTTTCAGGCAGGATCAGCGCGGTCCACAAAGAACGTGGTCCCCCAAAGTATGACAGAACAACAAAACATACCGTGGCAGGGTGGGGGAGGATTTGTGCGTACGCGTACAAGCGACGTCGGTGGCGAGTGACAAGCGGTGGCGAGTGAGCGCTGGGCGCTGATGTCGTAGAGCTGCTCTCTTGTCCTGATGACACGGGATTGACGTCGAAGAGCTGCTCTCTTGTCCTGATGACTCGGGACTGACGTCGTAGAGCTGCTCTCTTGTCCTGATGACACCGGACTGACGTCGTAGAGCTGCTCTCTTGTCCTGATGACTCGGGATTCTTTTTTCTCTCCTGCTTCCCTCCTCCTCCCTTTGGTTTTTCTCTGCTTGCTGTGACCAAAGCCACAATCATATTTTGTGCATTTGTTGATACCATGAATCACGTGAATATGTCGCGACGACAACAAACCTGCGAGAAGGACGGCAAATTGTGTATGGAAGGAAGGCGTGTGTGTTGCGACCACTAGCGCTAGTGGGTCATGGTCATCGTCACGTGCAGTCCACGTTGGCAAATGTTTGTCGCCTCGACTCAGTCGCTGTATGGAGGGGTGGCTGCCTCTTGTGCAGAGATGTCCAGTTTTTTTTTCTTTTTTTAGATCGTGAATACTTCGGATGTAGGGTTGCTCTGCATGACGTTTTTCTGTCCTGCCTTGTGGGTGGATGTACGTGAGCATGTCTTGTAAGTTCTAAGAAACGATTCACTTAGTTCTAGGCTCTGTCAGTCTCTCTGGATTTAGGCGCTGCTACTCCTCTGTACGTCTCTCATGGCTGAAGTGGTTGGCCATGTGTCTGACTGATTGATGGAGCCCTGTGTGTGCACACGAGACATGGCCCAGCCAGCGAAGCGACGCGTGGTCCTGCGGGACGATGACCATGACGATGCCATCGTCTTTGATCAGACATTGTTGAGCCTCATGCCAAAATGCTGTGTTTCTTGTGGTGGTGGTCGTCTTTGTTGCCAGTCCTTCCCCAACACCACCCCCCCCCCCCCCCACCCCTCCTATGATGTGCCCACTCTGCAGTCTCTCTCCCCCCTCCCCCTCGAGTGCGGGGGTGCGTGACTTAAGAGTAGTGTGGGCGGTGTGTCATGGAGGCCAGGCAATAAGATAACAAATTCTATTATGATGCTCTATGCTCTATAAATGTAACTCGTAGTAGAATACGATGCTGGTCAGAGAGGCCAACAATCTGTCTGTGACGTCCTGTCCCCTTCATCTGTTGTCAACTCGGCTGACCTCTAGGGGGGGTCATGGCGTCCGTCGTCCACCTTTATCAAAAAGAGTTGTCAGTTTTTCCTCTACCAGTCAAACTGACCACAGCTTTGTTGGGTTTTTTTTTTTTTAAAATAAATAATTGTTTCATGTTTGATCAATAATTATTATTACTACTACTACTACTACTACTACAGATTATAATTTGCCATGTTTGTATTTGTGTGTTTTGTGCAGTGCTGGGACATACATTGTTGTGTTCAGGTGTTGGTGCACCTTGCCTTGGTTCATTGGGTTTTTGGGACAGACCAGAACTGACAGGTGGACTGTTTGTAGATTTCATCTTTTGTTTCATGTTTTTTTGTTTTTGTTTTTAAAAAAATATTATTTGTTTGGGGTTATTTTGTTGTTGTTTTGTCTGTATGGCATTTTAAAAATAATTAACTAGATGAGCGCGTTGATTAAATTAGATCTTTCAGTATGGTAAATAGAATGTGAAATTCTGTGGGTCTTGCTGTGTGTGATCAGTGGTGTAGAAACTAGGTATGATGAATATTCATGAGGTGTCATGTTTACTGTAGTGTGTTTGTGTGTGTGTGTGCCTGCGTGTGTGTATATGTATGTATGTTATGTACGTGTGTGTCAAGTGTGTGCGCCTGCGTGTGGCAGTGAGTGTGTACTGTGAATGTAGCAACGTGTCGTGCCAACATGTAGTAGGTGGCGTGCGGCGTCAACGTGTTCTGTGCATGTCATAGAGTGATGGCCACTCTGTGCATCTTGTGACCCTTGTGGCTGGCAGTTTCTATCTCCCCCGCCCCCCCCACCCCGCCCCCCAGTACACAGGGGTCTGGTCTAGATAATCATGTTTGGGACAGCACTACCCATCATCTTTTCTTTTTTCTGTTTTTTTTCTTTTTCTTTTTTTCTTTCTTTGTTTCATTCTGCTTTGTCATGTACCGTATGGAAAGACAGATTTTATGTAAGTTTGATGAAAGTTCCTACTTTGTACTACAATATGATGTTTCAAAGCCAAGACAGAATGTCCCGAGTTTGTTATCAATCAACATGATGGTGTTGCTTGTCTTTCTCATGATCAAGTCACGCTTCTTTTTGGAAAGGAAAACAAAACAATTGGTCGTGTTATTCTATAGTTAGTTGTGCCACTTTTGATATATATATATGTGTGAGAAGACAATAATACCTGCTTTCATCCAACTACAGGGTGAAGTGAGTGGTGAGAGATTCCTTTCTAGTTCTCCAGCTTTGGTCAACTTTGGTTACTGTTGTGGGGGGGTTAAAAATCTAGACAGAACTTGCTCTACCCCAGGTCTGTGAACATTTGGATAGGATTTTATTTTTTTCCCAAATTGTTGACACATGCATGGTTCTTGTGAGAAGGCAACTAGAATTTCTTTCCATATTTCTTCTGTACAAAATTCTGGTTGTCTTTTATATAGCCCTTACCCTGAGCCGGTCTAGATGGGTTTTGTTTGACCCAGTGGCAAGGTTTCTTTGAGCTGACAAGGAGAACTTGTCATGTGCTCTCTACAGATAGGCGGCAAGGAGAACTTGTCATGTGCTCTCTACAGATAGGCGACAAGGAGAACTTGCCATGTGCTCTCTACAGATAGGCGGCAAGAAGTAGGGAAAGTCTTTAACTTTAAGTTGTTCAACTTGTTGTTGACTTCTCTAGGACCATGTCTTCCTTTCCGTTTGCTTGGCCCTGTGTGATATGCTCCCATTTTTCATTGAGAGAGTGATGTCGGCGGTTCTTCTATGATAGAAAGGAAAATGAGCCTGTTTTTTGTTGTTTTTTAACTTGACGAAGAGACATATATTATAATATAGTGCAGTTCATAAAGGTAGGTTTGAAGTCATCACAGGGGATTCTTTCATTGTTTCATGAGGCCAAATTTACATGATTTATGCAGGTACAGCTGGAGTATTTGATGAAATGCTGTACTGTAACTTTGATGTTGATGACATCCAACCCTTAAACAAAGCCATATCTTCTACTACTTCTCTATATTCTATCAACATATTATGTCACATAGCCCACCTCTTCTGTTCCTGTGAGGCTATCCAGATCTGCAGCAGAAAGAACTTGAGAATTTTTTAGAAAAGACACATTTTTTTTGTGACTGCGTTTCCATATTATGACTTCAACGACCATCACTTTGTAAGAATACTATAAATAAATATAATGCTGTGCTTTTGCTCTGAAGAATATGACAATTTTTCCAGTGTCCATAATCAGATTTTTCACGGCGGTGTGTGCTTGAGAGTGACCTAAAAAAAAATGTTCTTGTTATTCTTCCTTGCTGTCTGCCTGCCTGCTGTCATTGAAATGTACATTCAGTAAGATCATATTGCTGACCAGCTGTGATTGTCATGCTGTCATTGAAATGTACATTCAGTAAGATCATATTGCTGACCAGCTGTGGTTGTCATGCTGTCATTGAAATGTACATTCAGTAAGATCATATTGCTGACCAGCTGTGGTTGTCATGCTGTCATTGAAATGTACATTCAGTAAGATCATATTGCTGACCAGCTGTGATTGTCATGCTGTAATTGAAATGTACATTGCAGTAAGATCATATTGCTGACCAGCTGTGATTGTCATGCTGTAATTGAAATATGTGTACATTGCAGTAAGATCATTTTGCTGACCGGGTGTGATTGTCTGGATTCCTCTTCAGAGATAAGAAGAAGAAAAAAAAAAAATAAGCGTTTGATTCATTTCCTCCTGCAATGCAAGTGACCAGCTGGGTTTTTTAATTATTTTTTTCATGTTGTCAAGTGAATCTTTTTCTAATGTCATGCTGCTACGTAGTAGTGCATCGGTCAGTCGTGACAAGCCCCACCCCCATGAGGAATTTTGTACCAAGTGTGTGCAGCAGATTGATTCAAACAAAACAAACTAAACAAACTAAACAAACAGACAAGAAGACTCATTACTCGCGAAGCTCACCATCCCGTCATTTTGAGCTTGTTCAAAGCATTGCTCAAGAAGTGTCATGTGTACCCCCATCCTGTCAGTAGTGATGCACGTAGAATGAATGTAGTAACAGATGTCCTATCTGGCCACCAGTCTATGACATGGCGTCTTGTTTTCCCTCATTTTTCTTTTTGTTTGTTTTTCTACGAAATTCACATCTGTTACATAAAAAGTGGTAGAAATTAAAACGAAATTTCTCATCTTTGATAAATTGTGGGGTTTTTTTGTGTCTGGAGGATGAATGAGCGAGTGCGGTGCTTGAAATGATTATGATGCCAGTTTCTTCAGTTACAGTACCTTTTCCTTTTTTTTTTTTTGAAGGAGACTAATTAACCAAGACTTTTCTTCTTCTGTCGCTTTTGCTGTTTCTCTTCTCCCTAGTATTATTTAGAATTATGGAGGATACCATGAAAAGGTTCTTTTGAAATGGGTGGTTTGCAGGTGCCCTGCTGTGGTCTTCTCCTTCCCTCCTGTCAAACAACTATTGTCCTTGCCTCTACTCCTTCTTTTCTTTGTGGATGGTTGGTGGATGCTCTGGTGTGGTTTGCTCCTTCTGTCCTATCATAATCAAGCCCATCTATCGTCCTTATCATGTCTTCTTTTTTGTGTTTGTGCAGCACGTCTATCCAGCTATACAAAGTCGGTCAACTACACTATCACTATCATAATATGTGAAGGATATTTTTTCATGTCACCAATTGTTGTCGAACCCGAACCCGTTCCCTCTTTAAAACGTTTTCCTGCATTCCCCAACTTCTAGCTCAGATAAATAAGGTGGGTGGTTGGCGGGTGCTCTGGTGTAGTTTGCTCCTTCTTCCCTCTATCCAAACATCTTTCGTCCTGATCTCTCCTCCTTTATTGTGTTGTTTACTTTCTTGTAACGCCTCTAATCTTCGGCACCTAAATGACCTTACAGTATTGTGTTGTTTACTTTCTTGTAACGCCTCTAATCTTCGGCACCTATATGACCTTACAGTATTGTGTTGCAAGTGCTGTAAATTGTAAAACTTTCTAAAACTAAAAAAAGGATAACAAAGTGGTGTTGTCCTGTGAAAGCTTCCAAGACCACAGTCAAACTTGGTCAAACTAATTTTTGAGGGGCTCTCGTGGCCTGGAGGTTAAGGTGTTCGCCTCTCATTCAAAGTTCGCATCTGGGTAGTGACGAAAAAATTTTATTCTCTGAAAATGCTGTCCTTTCACCTCCTATTCTGCTCTCTAGCATTATGTAGGCCTACTAACAATGTTCTGTCGTCTGCTTTCGTCTCCACTTTCTGCCCCCACCCCCTCACCTCCTTTGTCCCCTCCTCTGGGCTTCTGACTCTTTCTGCAGCCTTTCTACTGCTACCCCTTGGCTCCTCAGCGACACCCCTGATCTTCTGGTAGGAAAGATCTACACCTAGCTTTCTCGGACAAGGGCGAAAATTTTCAGAGGTCCCGTGTGCAAGTTGCGCATGTTAAAGATCCATTGATGGTCTAAAATCGATAAGAGTAGGCTTCGGCCACCACCCGGGCAAAATTCAAAATTTCCTACCAACTGAAAATGTTTAGTGTGTCCCGCGCGCTCATATGACCTTATGCAGTTGCGAGAGCCGTAAAACATGTACCAAAAAACAAAACAAAACGATTTTATGAAGTACAACTTATCTTTCTTTATCAGTTTAGTGTGACTTGTCACACTGGTACCCATGGGTGGCTGGCTTGTGCTGTAGTGTGGTCTGCTATTTCTTTCCTACCCAACATCTATCGTCCTTATCTCTCCTTTTTTGTGTTTGTTATTATCTTGTAACATGTAGGCCTACCTCTAATGTTCAGCACTTAGATGACCTAATTGTGTTGCAAGTGCCATAAAGCTAAAACCTTTACTTTACATGTACTATTATTACTATTAAAACAAACAACAAAAAATCTTTGGTAACATTATGCTCTCCTCAGAGGTAATTTTGTGTCACGACTCGGTGGGATCAGGCTCTCCTCAATTTTTGGGCCATACGGAGTTGATGGTGTCATCTTAAGGCCTGTCCATTGTCCTTGTTTTGGATGAAAATAATATCCATCTTCTTATGTTGAATAGAAGTCGAGATTCATGTGTGTGGTTGAAGGAGGTGAGGGTAGATCTAATCTAATTTCAGAGTAGGTAAAATTAGCGAGAAAATGACCGCCAAAGTTGACTTAGTGTAGAGGTTGGTTAAGGTGTTCGCCTCTCATTCAAAGTCAACAAAGGTCCCAGGTTCGAATCCGGGTAGCGAGGGAAAAATTTTCTTCTCTAAAATCGTCTCCTTTCACCTCCTTTCCTGCTCTATAAATGTTCTGTCGTCTGCTTTCGTTTCCACTTTCTGCCCCCCCCCCCTCACCTCATTTGCCCCCTCCTCTGGGCTCCTGACTCTTTCTGCAGCCTTTCTACTACTACTCCTTGGCTCCTTCTTACTGCTGTCTTTCAGCCACACCCGTGGTCTTCTGGTAGGAAAGATCTACACCTAGCCTTCACAGACAAGGGCGAACAAATCTCGGAGGTCCCGTGTGCAAGTTTCGCACGTTAAAGATCCCTTGGTTGTCTAAAATCGATTAGAGTAGGCTTCGGCCGCCACCCGTGCAAAATTAATAAAAAATTTCCTACCAGCTGAATATGTTTAGTGTGTCCCGCGCGCTCATATGACTCTATTATGCAGTTGCGAGCGCCGTAAAACACCTACCAAAAAAAAAAAAAAAAAAGGGTACATGTAATACGGCATGGGGCTCACCACCCACTAGGATCGGCCGTAATGATGACAGACATAGTATACTGAAGTCTGTTGTCTGAAAAAAATCATGAGTGTTTATTATGGTTTTAAACCTACACCACAGTTAATCTGTCCCCGTGGTTTTATGTACCCCGCAAAATTTATCACAATTTGATCATTTTTTGGGCACAATTTCTGATTATTTTCCTTTATCATTCTTTGGTGAAATTAACAAAATCGCATAATTTCACATTTTTGGGCTCAGTTTGCATAATTTCAAAATTGTTCTTGCATAAAACGACGGGGACAGAATAGGCCTGCTGACCTGTTTCAGAAATTTTAGGTACACGTATAACTTTCAGGAAGAGATTGATTTACAAAGTTGGCTGTCTTACTAAATATATATAGCCTGTAGTATAGGGTAATTTAAAAAAACCTCAACCTGTGCAACTTTTTTTCTGAATATCTCGAGCAAAATTTGTTGTAGAATATGCTGTAATTTGGAACAGACATAATTCATTCTAAAGGAATTTGTTTGACATAAAATACACGAAGAAGAAACTTATTTTGAAAACGGAAATGGCTGAAAGAAAAAAGCCCCCAAAACGCAAAGTTCACCAATTAAAAAACCATCTTGTTAAGGAAATCGTGGAAAGGTTGGTCGACTTTTTCTTTATTTTCTCTTTGACATTTAATTTCCCATTCCTGTGACATTTAAACAATATTTAATTTCCTTTACAAAGTTAAATGATTTCTTTCTGAAATTCTTAGAAGCAATGCTCTACATGCCCTCCTCTTGACTCGACACATTTTTAACGCGTCGTTCGAAATGTTCAATGGCGCCCCCTCCCTCCCAAAAAAAAGGATCTGCTAAACCATGAGTGTTGAAAGCCACACACACAGTACATATTCAATATGAAGTGGCTTCTAGTACATGTAGAGACAATAAAGTGGGGTGCCCAATAGACAGCATTTTTTGAGTTAACATATCCCGCAGTGTAAGAATGGGCTTTGCACTAAACCAAATGCCATCGAGGAAATTATCCTGCTTTTCAAGACAATCGAGGAATCACGAACACATTGCCATGCTCTGACTCGGATCCGTGTCATCTTGGCCTAGCAACAATAAAAATGATGTAGTCGTAGGTTAAGATCTGCAAATAGAATGCAGACTGTTGAGGAGTAGGAAAGTCCTAGCTGCAGATCGTCTACGGACAGACGTCTCATGGGACTCGACGACTGAAATCCTCACTCTGGTGACGCAGGGCTGTGCATGGTGCGTGTTCGACCTGAAGTGGTCATTTTAAAAAGATGGGTTTTTTTTGTTCTGATTCGCTATAGACCCAAACTGACGGAAATTCTCTACTCATGACGCCAAAGGTCTTGAGAGCACCAAAGCATTTTCTCTATACCGTGAGCAGAACTTCGGAAATATCAAGTATGGTGAGTTTGTGGAGAGGTCATGTTCAATACAAAAAGTTCTCTGCTGTTTCCTAAACGTAGCCATGATCTCAGCAAGCAAACGGAATTTGGAAAGAAAAATATCTGCAGACTTCTGTTGACTTGTTACAGGACTTTTGTAGCTTGCAATATGGCACGATTGTTGCTGCAACTTTTAGTGGTAGGCCTAATGCGGACTGGTGCATCAAGCCATGAAAATGGCGACCAGGATTGAAAATGGTTTGTTTTTTTTAATGCGCAATATAGAGCAAAACCATTCAACAGACCAGTCTAAAATGAATATCAGACAAATTCCTTTTGGCTTCCAACTGTTATGTTCAAATCTGAAACGAAAAACTTCTGTATGGAGGAAGATATTTACAAAACAAGTTGTACAGTTTCTTTTGGATGACCCTGTATATTTAGACTAAGCAGTTCAGTGAATGCAAACTCCCATGCGAGAATCTCCAGCGCGATGTCCAGTTGATTTTTTTTTTTTGTCTTGATAGCTGACGGTGGTTTACGTCTGCAAGCACATAAATAATGTATTCACAAAAGGCCCCAAAGTTTTTCTACCTTGTCTGAAAAAGAGAAGTTGCCCCCTTTTTACAATGTACATGCTGTCTGCCCTTTGGCTTGGCCATGGGTGTGAGAACATGATGTCTAGGTCTATAATAATAATAGATAGCATTTGTATATCGCATATCCCCGCTCAACAGCAGGCTCTATGCGCTTTACACTATATTATTACCCCAGCAGACCACAGAACACTCCGAAACAATCTCAGCTTCCTGGGAAGCATACAGTGCAAGCAGCTGATTAAACGCTCAAACACTAACAAACTGACAAGATCTTTCGCTGTCTATAGCCGGGTACCCATTCCCACCTGGGTGAAGTGAGGAAAATCCGTGTAAAGTGCCTTTCCCAAGGACACAACGTCGGGCCCCTGATGGGATTCGAACCCACGACCTTACGGTTGCGAGTCCGAGAGCCTAACCACTAGGACACCGACGTGGGAGTTGAACCAGGTACTTGGGCATGAAATGCA